GCTCCGCCTACTTTCTAAAATAAGCACGGGCTTCTAAAACAGCAGGAAAATCATTAAGACGAGATGTTTCAACAGAGATGGAAGCATATTTACATTGGTGACGGATAATGTTACAGACGAACAAATGTTCAAGGAATTAGATGTTCTGGATATGGACGCAGGAGACCACAGATTAAAAGTTGAACTGCAAAGGGTTAGTTTTTTTTATTTTATCAAAATGTTTAAAAGTTTTAATTTTTTAATATTCATATATAATTCTGAGGAAAGTAATTTCACAAGAATCTTTTTGAGAGTTTGGATGAATCATTCTACATTTTAATTTATACCTGAAGCCCAAGTCGTACATAAATTAAAACGGATTTCAAAATGTTCATAATTAAAATCACTTGTTTACTAGCAATAATTTACATAAAAAAGTAAGCTTCATTTAGAAAAACCAGACGCCATCTAATTTTAACATTTCAACATTATTGTTATTACTTGAGCAACCTCGTTAAAGTCTAGATGTCAGCAATGTATAACACATCGGGTGCGGGGTCCAGGATTCTGAAAGGGGGATCTAGCAAGCCAACATTTTGAGTAATACAATGAAAAAGTCTAAGCATTTACCAAATATGAAGCTCCTTAAAAGGGGCTTGCTCCCTGCCCTCAGTGTTCTCCCCAGGATTTTTGGATAGCACCAGGGTAACGCGTGTGGACTTCTTGGTGTCGCGTCGCTTAGCTCTAGTTACTGTAGTTTTTATGTCTCTTGTTTTGTTTTAACACTGTGGTACTGTGTTATGTAGACATTGATTCAGAAAATTATTGGTAAAAAAGAAGTAAATCAAAAAACAGTTTGTATACTTTAATATTTTTTTTAAATAAATAAATTATGATTCATAATAAAATATTCATCTGAATTTAAAGTAATTAAATCTTTTATAAAATCCAAAATCAATAAAAATAAAATATCATTCAAAAGAGAACAAAAATGTTCAATTTAAAAAACTTTCTAGTTTCTAGAAAAAAGTTGTTGTATGTGAAAGGATTCCTGTCATAAGAAGATATAAAATTAACAAGAATATTGCAAGTATTGTTTTATTATTTGAACCAGTTTCTATCTTAGATTTTAATAAAATGAAATTTTTCATAAATTTTAGAACATTTTGCCATAGATTTCATATAAATATTAACCTTTCTTGTCTTTGGTGATAATCAAACATAGATACAGACTTAATACTGCCCTAAAATCTAAATCTTCATTTGTCATGAACCATTTAAAAAGAATTCCTAAATCTATAAATTTATCTTTGGTCTATAGATCTACAAGTAACCATATTCAATGTCAACAACTAAGTCTCCCTATTTTCCCGCCTAAATGACAGGAAGTAGATATAAATAGATTTAACATGTGCTTAGGGATAAAATTTGCCAGATTACTTCTGTTATTCATTAATTATGGATATAGATATCCAGTTTGAAGGTACAGTCATGCATTTTATTTATAAAATATAATAGATTGCAATTAATTGTAAATAAACTTGAATATTCTACGTGAACTAACTGGGTCATGTGATATGTACAGACAGATACTACAGTTTGAAACCTGACTATCATGCAATAACTATGTCATAATTAAAGATAATATTGGCCATGGTTTAATCAGAGACATATAATACTATAATATAAGAATTGGGAAATGTATAGTTGTCCATTATAGGTAATGAGCCACCATTATGATGTACAAAAAATGTACCTATCGGGTCAAGACTGTCACACTGTTTGTGTACAAAGTATTTGCCGACTTGTCACAGGTCAGTGCTTGGGTGGATAGTGAAGCCATAAAATAGTTATCTGTGATCATAAAGTTATAACTCTTAATTAAAACACAAGAATCATGTTACAAGTGTTAATTACATCGATTAAATCCAATCAACAAGGTTAAACTCATAAGGTAAATTGATCACGTGGTGTAAACAATCTGTGTTGAACTGGTTTGAACTGGTCAAATTTCACCTGGAATTTTATACCGCACGGAAAAGATTTAACAAGTCGTTTAAAACTTTACCGATTTACGATTTTTTAACTGAAAATTTTAGCACCACGGAGAAAAATTATACATCGCGGTAAGAACTATACCACCACGGTAAAAAATAATACATCGCGGGCCCGCGGTCCTTTAAGGGCCTGGGGAGAACACTGTGCCCTCCCCCAAAAAGCTGTCTCAGCAAATTCAAATCTATACATGAAGCTGTAAAGTGAAGCCTATGGAATACATTCCAAGTATAAATCTCAATAACCGAAAATCAACTTATATTTTCCAGTATAATATATACACATTTATATATTTTTTTTAACTTTATTTGTTCTAGGAGCGATTTTTTTTTCATTTAAAAATATAGGACAACAGAGTTGGTGTACGTGGGTTCAATTCCCACCCTAGGCATTCATTTATATCGGCTGGTGCAAAGCGGGCAGTTTAGCTTAGTGGCCCTGCACTGACTCTGTTGTTCAAATGTCAAAAAATTCAGACAGCCAGGTCTTGCTATCTTTCTTTTTCTCGAAGACCCTATACAACAAAACCATGGTATAATTGTGAAAATTATACCATAGATATCTATGGTATAAATTTCGGTTATTGAGATTTATACTCGGGTTGCATTCCCATAGGTTCCATTGCACAGCTATAGGTTAAGATTTGATTAAATCTGTTTATTCAAACACAATCAAATTTTTTATTGCATGTTTTATGTGAGGATTTTAATATCGATATCAAAATTCTTGTTTTACAGTATTGTTAATCATTTTTAATTTAAATTTTCTAATCTTAACTTTTTAATGATAACAGGAGAATATAGAGAAATAAATGGGGAATGTGTCCATGGGACACAGATGATGTCCCCGCTTGCATATCATATAAAGTTATAAAGGGACATAACTGAAAAATAAGCATTGTGTATAAGTTTCATAAAATTTGGTTGAGGCAAACTTAAGTTAGAGAAAGGAAACGAAAAATTCAGCAATTTTTCCATTTGTAAAGGGCATAACTCTAGAACAGTAAAAGTGACACCACCAAAATTCAAACTTGATCTGTATTTTGTGGTAATAAGCATTGTGTATAAGTTTCACAACATTTGGTTGAGGCTAACTTGAGTTAGAGAACGGAAACGAAAAATTCAGCATTTTTTCCATTTGTAAAGGGCATAACTCTAGAACGGTTAAAGTGACACCACCAAAATTCAAACTTGATCTGTGTTTTGTGGTAATAAGCATTGTGTATAAGTTTCATAACATTTGGTTGAGGCAAACTAAAGTTAGAGAATGGAAACCAACTTTGGGACGTATGTACAAGGGTAAAACTTAATGCCCTCTCCGCTACAGCGGGGGCATAAAAACAAGGTGCCAATTGCCGAAACCTAGCAGAATTATCTTGAAACAAGGTGTTTAAAAGTCTTGGTGATGAAGTGTGTTGTTACATTAAGATCAGAGGTCAAAGATACATGTAGTCTGTTTTTCAATGCACAATCTCATTTTTCACAAAAAGTCACAGAAATCTAGTTTTGGGATCAATTACAACCCTGTCTACATGAAAACATCAACTTATGAGGCATGTCATCTAAAGATAAGTATTCATCAGTGTTAGGGGGTCAAAATGGAAAAGTGTGAGTTCCAATCTTGCACATGGCAGGTGCACAATACTTCAATCTTAATTGACTAGGCTTGTTAATTTTCCTACCTAAGCTCATGTTTCTCTCCAGCTTCCTCCACTTATAAAACAGACCGCCACGAAATAGCACAATACTGTTGAAAGTGGCTTTAAACACAAATCAATCAATCAATTAAAAGGGAAACTTTCTAAATTATTGCAATTTCTAAAATGTCTGTGTAAAAAATACTGCCGATGCATAGCAAAATGTCACATTCATGATATTATACAACTTTATAAACCTCCACATCAAAACAATAACTATTCAGGAACTCTCTTATCGATAATTTACATGTCAGACGACCATTTTCATATCTATAGATCCAAGACCATGAAACTATGTTGACCTTCTGTAGTGCTGGTTAAGCACAATGAAGAAAATAATGAAGAGAAAACACACACGCCCTTCCGAAAGCTTATAATAACAATACTGAATAGAGACAAGTTGTGATGCAAGGCTATAAGAATGTCAGGCGAATACATCTTCTTTAGAAGCTGACATAAGCATGGTACAAAAATGTAAGCATCCACAATTATTTCCATCTTAAAAGATATCAGCAAAATGAATAAATAAGGGAAGTGCAGTGCTGTGAAAGTCTCACGCAATATGCGCGAGACTCACACATTTTCATGCTTATTTGGCGGCATTTTCCTTTGATCTATAGTTTTTTTCATTTGATCTTTACAATTTTGCCAAATATCACGCATTTGCTTCACGAAAACTTGACAGTCCCCGGGCTGGTTCTTTAATTTTAAAGCAAAACAACGCAAGCACCATTACCAAAATAAAATACTTGATCTTCAGCAAACACAAAATAGACACACACTGGGTTTTAAATAGTTTTCACTGTGGACTTTTGTTTTATAGAAACAATGCTGTTTATATTACGTTCTGTGAATGTAAATTTGGAATCTTTACAGATTGAGACTAAGAAGCACATCTGCTGGTGAAATACATGATTAAACACCCGGTAAACAATTGTGTCACCGGTATTTTTACCACAGAAGAAGTAATGTATTCCATATACTGAAAGCCAAGATGGCGTCCATAATAACAAAATATAAAATCGAGTTTAAACTGATGCTTCGTGAGTTTTAATTGTGTCAGCCACATAGTGCATGTGCTCATGGACCAAACCGCGGATGGGACTGTCTATCGCGACGAAAATACCGATATAAACACAAAAACCAAAATGAACACCTTAGCATAATTATTCAAAATGGCGTCTCTGTGTATCAACCTTTTGCATCAAAAAAGATGCGGCATATTCGTTTAATACCGGTTTTATGGACAATTGTCGAGTGCATGACTTACCCAATAATAAAAGTTTTAATTCCCTCCTTGCATCTCTTTTATCTTTCCGTAGTTGTTTTTCTATTTCTTGATTAATTCGTTTTTGCTCTTTCGCTTCTTCGCTAAGACAGCACGCCATTTTCATTTCAACTTAGCCTTACTTTAATTCAGGCCGAGCTATCTCCCTATCCTGTCTGACCCTTATCAGGCCCGGGGGTTAATCGTTACCCCGTGGCATCCAAAACATGAGAAATTTCTTGGGTTGAAAATGCCGTGAATTGTCACCGGTGAAATTGTTGTTTATCGGTAGTGTGTCCCTCAATCAATCCTTCCATCCAAAGGGTGTGACCATTTGCCGATAGCCTCCGAAAGAACGCATCGGGCGATATCAACCAGGCAAAATGCCCAATATGAAATTATTTAGAACAGTTAGAAATATTTATTTATTTATCTGTTTCAATCAATAAGATTTGGGATTCTTTTCGGTCAAAACTACGCCCAGATTATTACAGGTTGCGTGTAGGTAAAATTGATGTAACAGCCAACAGCCTTGTATGTTATTATGGGATGCGAGGCTTCCAGTTGCATAAAAAATGAGCCGGTTTCATTCACAGAAATTTTATCGTAATTTATGAATTACGCGATCGAATATATTGACACATATATTTTGTGTCAAATGAATGTTGAATATTATGTGATTTATTTCTATTTGAAATAAAAAAGAAGTATCCTTTGTTAAAGATTGCTAATTAAAAATAAACAACAAATAAAAGAAAAAGATAACGAATGCATTAATTCCAGACAAGTAAAGAAGTTCTAATAACCATTTTGTTTTCAATTCAGTCGGGACATAAAGTTTAAGGATTAAATTGTTATTATTATTGATAAACTCAAAAACATAAGTTTGAATGACTTCCGAAGTTCAATTAAGTGGTACAAAGTATTTGTTGTGTCATTAAAGATCATTTGTAAAACCTGGGACTATTGTACTAATATATTATGTCTTGGTTTCTTGGTGTTGGAACCCCCCTTTTTTTGACGATCAATGCTTTTGAATGGGGACATAATGTTGGTCCCCCCCCTTTATCCAGGGTTGGGAACCCCCTTTTAAAAATGGCTAGATCTGCCCCTGCAATGTGCTTTTACTTTTAACACCTACAGTGTACAATGCGTTTAAAAAAGAAAAAAATTAAATAATTTATAACATTTCAGTAAATGTGAAATTCCATTCCCCCTTTTAGAAAGAGATTGAGGTAATCCAATTTCAACACCAACTGCCTTAATGATCTTCAGTGAAGTCGTATTAAGAATTGCTTAATTACAAAATAATATTAGGAATATTTGCTTAAATTATGGGATACTAATGGGTTACGGTGACCTATAGTTGTTAATTTCTGTGTCATTTGGTCTCTTGTGGAGAGTTGTCTCATTGGCAATCATATCACATCTTCTTATTTTTATATGTTATATAGTTTTATTTTAATGAACTGAATATGTGATAGCTTCGACGCGATGTAGCCTATTTGTAAATGCGATCAACACAGCCTCTCAAATTTGAATTCAGGAGAGGACATCATCTATATAGCGGAACTTCAAGCCCCCCTCCCCCCAAAAAAAAAAAAAAAAAAAATGCTACAGAGGCGTAGCTTCTCTTGAGGCAATTAAGAAACTGCCTCACCAAATTTTTTATTAATAAAAATAGAGGAGATAAAGATAGATAAAATACGTAACGTGTATTCAAAAGTGTAGAGTAGAGAGTGAACATTAAGATGGTTCAAAACATTTGACTTCTCTATCCTTAAAGCGAGCATTCCTCAATCAATTTAATATCTAATAATTGATGATATTTCAAGAAATGTCAAAGGTAGATACAGAATTCTTGTTTTAGAAACGGACAATGTAAACCTCGGAACAAAAGTGGTCCAAACAAGAGGTCAGAACTGTGAAACTGATATGATGCTTGATTTTTGTTTTACCCTTGATAGATGTGGTTTTCAACAGACACTTGGTATTCCAATGGGAACCAACTGTTCTACCCTTTCACCGGGCTTCATAGTTAAACCTGCCAGTTATATTATATCCACCCATGCATCTCGCAAACTTATAAAGTTAGTTACAAGACATAGTTGATTTTAAACTTAAATATCACCGAATCTGTACATAGCAATTTATGCTGGGGTGGTAAAGATTGTGTCAGCTATTTTTTATTTAATCAGTCACTGTTTTGCTTTTGAATACCAAGAATAAAATTTTCATAAATAGTGCTGAAAATCGATATATAGATCAACGTGTTATAGAACCACTACAACAATTCTGTCAAGGGTCCATAGAGGTCTTTTGCAAGACAAAATCTCTGTACTTATCTATAACATGCTGTCCTTTTCCGGTTGCAGTCGAAATTCGAGACACTCTGCAGACACCTATACTATTGAATATGGTTAATTTTTCTTGTCTTGAATATGCATGAAAAAATTATCCCTTGATGCAAGGCCAAACCTGTATAAAAATCGACTTTTTACATTTTTTTTACGACAATTTACCAAAACTGTCTATTTCCCATCCACATCGCGGTCTTTGAACTGTGTTAAGCTTTGACTCCCAAGTATCAAACCGTTTGCTTCACAAGAAATAATGGCCAAGCTACGCCACTGTTTTAACTTCTTTTCATTCTTCGTTCGAAGCTACTGAATGAATATAAAATGAGATGTGGTATATGATTGCCAATGAGACAACTATCCAACAGAGAAAAACGGCCAAGGATGTAGACAACTATTAGGACACTGTATGTACGACCTTCAACAATGAGCAGAATCGTAAAGCCGATGTTATTAAAGAAAATTTCCTTATACGGTAAAAAAACACCAAACATTTACACTGCGTTAAATATACTATTGAAAGTGAATTGTCTGATAATAGATCAATTTAGTTGTACTTTTGGTCACACTATCACTAGGTTCTACATTCGGTCCCAAGTTTTTTTTGAGATTGATTGATTGAAAGAGGTTCTATGAGGGTCTGGATGGGGTTTACAGAATAGAGAATAATGGCCCTAAAAACTAGAGAAAATTAAAGAATAAAATGATAGAGAATAAAGGGGTGCAAAAGTTTAAAGAATAACTGTGGATAGCAGAATAAGGTAATGCAATACTAATTTCAGAAATGAACGATATATACATGCAGAATAAGAAATACTCTAATTACAGAAAAAAGAATGTTAAATTATTTTCATGAGAATTTTACAGAATTAGTGTTACTTTTAAAGATAAAGAAAAAATTCCTGAAAATTTTAAGAATACAGAAATTAAACCCCTTCCCACATCCAGACCCTCTTATATTGGACTAATGCGAATTTAATTGGACACTTTTGGATTACTAACAATACACACTCGTTTAACATTCACATGCGGACTAAATTAGTGAGGTACAACAGGTGCGCATCCTTAAGTTTTGTTAAAAAATTTTAAAAAATGTAGATGGTTTTGCTGACATATTCATATTAGAGTGGCCACCTACTCGCCAATTCATTGCGTAGCAAACAATACAAAATACTGAATAAGCTCCTGGTCGATCATGGTAAAAACAACGAAACACGCAAGCATGCACGAGGGTCTCGATGGGGGGTCCTTCATTTCTGTATTCTTTAATTTTTTATGCCATTTTTCACTATTCTTTATACATTTTGCCCATTATTTTCTATTTTTTATTTTTTAACACCTCATTTTTCTCTATTCTTTATTTTTTTGGGTCCATATTTCTCTATTCCTTATATTTTTTGCCCATTATTCTGTATTCTGTAAACCCCCATCCACACCCTCATGCACAGATGACGATTTTTCTACTAAGATATATCTTCCACAGATATAAAGATTTCGTTTTGAAGTTTGGTTGAACCAATAAAAAACTTATTTCAAATGGGATTGCACATCCTCATTTTTACGACAACATTGTTTACCGTGCCCGGAAATTTTGAAAGGATCCTGGTAAACTTATCGATCCTTTAAATAAACTTATTCTAAAAGGTTACCAATTCAACACTGTAATAAGATCATTAAATATTGTTTTTATTGGTACTAATATTGAGTTTGTTATCAGTAGATTAAAAGCAAACTAAATATTATTGTTATATACATATACACATTCATGGATCTACAATCTGTCGATACCTGTATCTTGGCATTGCACAAGGTCATGCTTTTCTCTGACTGTTTATGACGTCTTTACACTAAATCCATTGGAAGTTGGATGTGTACGGATTGATAATTTAGTCTTAGATGCATGATTTTTTTATTAGTTGTTAGTGGCTTTGAACTAGCTGTCAGTTACTGCGAGTACTCTCAGATCTGTACTTAGTGTATTTTTGTTGTTTGGATGTAGAAGTACCCGGCCACGTCCACTTGTATTTGTAATATTTGTATTTTTATCCATCTGATGAGTTAAGCCTCTTTCAACTGATTTTTATAGTTTTTATAGTTCGTTCTTATGTTGACCGTTACACCACTGTCCCAGGTTAGGGGGAGAGTTGGGATCCCGCTAACATGTTTAACCCCGCCACATTCTGTATGTATGTGCCTGTCCCAAGTCAGGAGCCTGTAATTCAGTGGTTGTCGTTTGTTTATGTGTTACATATTTGTTTTTCGTTCATTTTTTGTACACAAATTATGCCGTTAGTTTTCTCATTGTCATTTCGGGGCCTTTTATAGCTGACTGTGCGGTATGGGCTTTGCTCATTGTTGAAGGCTGTACGGTGACCTATAGTTGTTGATTTCTGTGTCATTTGGTCTCTTGTGGAGAGTTGTCTCATTGGCAATCATACCACATCTTCTTTTTTATATTGATTCAACTCCTAATTTTCTTTAATAATAAAAAAAAAGAAATATAATAAGTTTACACTATTTTAAATTCATTTTCCAGTTACGTTATTTTATTTTAAAACAAATTGAACTTTATCCTTATCTGGTCATTTTTTTTACTGAAAGAATGACCAACCCCCATGACTCTGTGATTCGCACTTTAATTGTACAAATGTATGCCAAATCATATATAATTATACATAAATATCCAAATAAATAAATGATTCTGGGGACAATTGAAATGTACGCTTTAATAACGCAAGGGTGAAATCTTTATTATAACTCAAAACAAGGATTTTAATCCTTCAAGAAAATACTTGCAGAGTCATGGCACTTGATTGTTGGATAAGTTTAAAAAATAGTTTACGGATGATCAATTGATAACCGCTTTTTGAAATTAATTGAAATTTTAATTGAATGTTTTGACTACTTACGACATTTGAAATTCTTTTCTGACAAAATTGCTTACCCACTTTTGTCAAGATAACGGAGCAATAAACAACTGTCATACAAGTGGG